TAAACTCTTAGTCGTTTTGTCTTTTTTTTTTTTTTTTTCTCTCCTATAATGCTTCTTCTTTCAATTGCAGTTCGGTAAAATACTCATTTTCATTTACTGCTAAGAGTTTACGTAGCCTGAAACAAACAAAAAAGAAAGAAATTAGAGGTCGTCTCGGTTCCCTGGGCAGAGTCCTGAGGGTCAGTTCCTTGATCTTCGTGTCCCACAGGCGAGTGGCCCACCAGTTGGTCTGGGTGGAACCACCCCTCACACCACACCCTTGGGAAAGAAGGGAGGCAATGAAAAGGACCTCAATCAGGCGCTGGGTTTGGGAAAGGCAGTAGAGATAATAAGAGAGAGCGTCGGGCACCCCAGAGGTTGTAGAGCCCGTAGGATCCTGTTGAAATGAGTTCTGCGACGGGGAAGCCGACCCCTGGTGACACTTCGCAGTCCTCAAACGTCCCAGCGTCGGTCGAGAGCTCGTCCTGCTGCACCCTCCCCTGGGCGCATCCCGTTAACTTAACTCCGGTCGGTTTTGCCCGTTTCTACCACTAGTGAAGAATCGGCTTTCTTCCCAGCCTGGCCAAGGATTGCCGTCTCGGCCGGGGTGGAGGCCACGCCCCCGGGCCGCCCTGGCCAGGGGTGAGGGGCTGCGTCTTCCCAGAGCAGTGGTGGGATGACCGAGGCCCCGGCGCCCCCTGGCGGGGGCCTATTAAAACGATGGAGGGGCGGGACCGGGACCAGCGGCGAGCCTCCACCTTCAGCCAAGCCCCAAGGCCTAGAGAAGTGGTTGGCCCAAGGTCCTTCGACAGAACCTGACCTTGATCTTGCCACCCACCATCCCACTTTCTCAGAGTCAACACTGTTACACCATCAAGACACTCCCCAAAGAAACACTAAATATATGAAACAGTAAACGGGACAATCAAAATCATTTTAAAATAATTTTAAAATAGCTCAGAGATAGAAACTATTTATATTATTTCCAATTCCTATTGTGCCCCAAGGTTCACGCAAGAGCTTTCCTCCCGACAGTTTCCTGAATTCTATATTTTCACCATTAAATTCCATGATAAAGTTGGATATCCATTCACCATTTGTAATACATACTTATGTTATTTAATAAAATTGCATGGACTGTATCTTTTTCATTCCTGTATCCCAGTATCAAGTACAGTGCCTACCATGGGCCAGGTTCTCATTACTTGAATGAATGACACAAAAATAGCCGAACCAGCCAGTTTTTTTCTGGGTGGGCTTGACAGTATTTCTGTACTTGCTGGGGTCACCATGAAATCCATGGTCTTCAGCTTTGCATTTCCAGCATCGTAGCTTTAACAAGTTATCCTCAGGTGAGCAGTGAGACCCTTGGGAGCTGATTCATGGCAGGGTGGCTTTGTAATGTGTCACCTTGACTAGGCTACGTTTCCCAGAACTCCCTTCCCTGTATGCTTCCGGTTAGGATGGGCCACAAGAGACAGTTTGCATGGTAACTGGAGGACAGAAGTGAAGCAGCAGCATACTGTTTTTACACTCGGAAGGTTGGTGCAGGCGCACCAGGCACTGTTGCAGTTCACACATGTTGTCACTTATCTGCTGGCTCACCTCGTTGGTGTGGGGCAGCAGTGAGGCCTGCAGTCAGGCCTGCAGCTGCTCCACTTTCCCTGGGATCTTCCTTCTGCTTCTCTAATTCCTGGGCCAGATGAGTATTTAACTCTGTGATGAAGGGCACCAGCTTCTTCTGCAGGACACCCACATTATCGCAGTTGGAGATGGTGAGACACTGACATGGGTTCTAGGCCATCCTCGCCGGTTCCAGCTCTTGCTCGTGCACGCCAAAGTGTCCTCCGTCTCCCACACTTTACATCCATCTTCCCTTCCCGATTGCCTGCCCTGCAGACTTCAAGCTCCAGCATTAGATGCAAAGACAACAGCCTTAGAGACTGTTTAATCAGCTCCCACTACTGTATAAGCTCAAATCCTTATTAAGTCCCTTAAAATATACATATATATAATATATATATATATACATACACACACATATATATACATATATATAATATTTACATTAGTGGTACTGCTTTTCTGATTGTATTGTGACTCACACTGTAATCAGACTCTTAGAAGTCTGAATGCCAATCAAATTTCATTTTAGATATTACAATACTAGGGTTAGGTGCCTGGGTCCTGGAAAGAACAAAACAATAGCAGAAAATTAGCCAGTCTTATCTCTGGCTCAAGAAGGTAAAGCAAAGGAAGGGGCAAAGAAGGGTAGCAGAGAGGGTTAACAGCAGGGAAATGTCTAATCTACATCTGAATTTTCTAAAGCTGCAGGGCTGGGACTAGAATAAGGCAGGGGAGATACAAAGGCTACAAAATTTAAGGAGGCATGCACCCTGTCACAGCCCTATAAAGCTGGCTATGTAATGAAGGACAGGTCTAAACTTTTTGGCACTTTATGAAGAACTGGGAAGTGAGGCAGGACTGAGTCAAGACTGGCCCTTATGCAGGACTTGAGGCAGGAACTCGGACCCCTCACAGAGAGGGACCAAGGACAAACCAAGCACAAAAGTCATCAAGGGACAGGGGAGGCAAGCTATAAGCAAAGATGAGCCAGACTGGCAGCTTTACTTCTGAAGACTGCTTTGGCTGAGGAGAATGAGGGCAACAAGCAAAATGGACAGTGAACCCTGGAGAAGGATGTCCGTTAGTGTTTGAGGAATATTATGCAACACCCAAGGCCTCAAAAGAACCCAGTCTCTTGAATGCATGGGTGCTGTGACAAGGTGACCAAATCCACGCAGCCTTAGCACTCCCTAAACCACGCTAGAGGCAGCAGTGTAAACAATTTGTTGTGTTTAGGGTAATCCACCTTGTTTTCAAGGTCACTGGAAACTTCTGTTACTATAATATTACACATTATCGGATATAGGATTACAACTTACAGTTTGGTGGCTTAAAGAACAAGGTTTTTACAACCTGTTTTTTTTTTTTTCCCCTAGGCCTACTGATACTAGCTGTCTGTCGGACACTGGACAAGTTATTTAATTTCTTTGAGTCTGTTTTCCCATATGCAAAAATGGGCAAAAATCATTTTCCCTAAAAAGATTGGAGGACTAAATAGGTCAGTAGGAGGAACTAACCAAATAGTTCCTTTCCTCATTTTTTCACATCACGATTTTCCAATGCTGTCTCTCTGAGGAAATGGAAATGTTCAGAAACACTGCCAGGTCTCATCCAGAAGCCACTGAAAAATTATTCACGAAGATGGCTTGTACAGGCTGTTTTGTGGTGGCTTTTACAGCCCCTCTCCACCCCAGATCTCCCACCACAGCTTATCACAGTCAAGCTCCTGGGATTTGCACCAGTTGGAGCAAATGCAACAACTTTCTTTTTCTTCCTTTCCTGCTTACTTCCTCTTTAAGCTCATTGTACTGAATAGGCCTGCTTCTCTGGTTTGGTGGTAGGTTTTTCCAGTTCCTACTGAATCCTACATAAGCCCCTCGGTCTACGGTCCAGCCTCTGAGTAGATCAGTGTTCTCTCATAAAGCCAGTCTGTAAATATCACCTTGAATCCTACAGTCTGCAGAAGCCTCCAGTCTACTGCTTTCTAGCTCCAGGTTTTTTAAGGTCCTTGGACCTAGAGAAGAGGGAGCAGGTCTGTATGTTGAATGAAGTTCGCTCTTTGCAAAATGGAGCATTACAAAACCATCTCCTAGTATTCTGTGCACACCACCCATTTCCCCATAATTATCCCTTCTCTCTCTTCTCACTTTTAAAATACTCCATTACAAACGAGATAACACATCATTACCTTCTCCATTAACATGTACTGATTTCACACATAGGGAAACTGTTTCCTCACTTAGATGGTAAGTTTCCTGAAGGCAGGAATCCGTGTGTCTCCTGAAGGATAAGCCTTCCAGGGTCATTGTATTCACCACTGTAGCTCTCACACTGCAGTGCACCCAGCAGGTACTCAGTCAGTACCTCTGTAACTGCCCAAGGCAGATGAAGGAGGTTCTGGCCTGCAGAAGCTAGTTTGTGGGAACAAAGGAATCCAGGTGCCTAGGCTAACAGTTTATGTTGCCTTTGTCCGGGGCTGTATGGTACAGCCTGTGAACATCCTGCAGGAGGTAGCATTCCCTTGTCCTCTTCCTGCCAGCCCTGTCTTCAGGGGCAGTTATCCTTCATCCTATTGCCAGGCCTGCAGGGACAGTTCTTTGGAGCAGCTAAAATTATATTAATAACCTCAACAGGCTCAGGAAGGCTCAAGAAACACAGCCCGACTCCATCCACAAAGGATGTTCTAGGAGGTGAAAGACAGCCTGAGATTCAGCAGTTGCACGTGGCCCCAGATCAGAACTATCTCAGGGCCCAGACCTGCCCACCCACCACTGTCCAGCCCACCTGTCAACTCCAGAGGCCTTCAAGACCCCAAATAAAGATTCTCTGAATAAAAATTTATATATTAAACCTGACCCCTTCTGGATTTCCTAAAGAAGATATGGACCAGGCTTTTATATTTTTCTTTCAAATCTCATTGCAGGGCATTAAGTCCTCACCCTCCACTGACCCCTGTCCCTCCACAGCCCCCCACCAACATACACACACCCAAGGAAAACCCTGACCTGAACCTCAGGAGAAATCTCTAGCGTCCTGCACATAACCCCTCACTGATCATAATCACTACAGTGATATGAGCCTTCACCTCCCACTGCACCACACCAAATTACTGACTCTACTTTTAAAACTCAGGCCCACATCTGACCAGCACCAACCCCATACCATCCCTCACTGTGCGGGGCACACCTTGGCAACCAGACCGCTGTGTCCCGGAGGCGGGTTCCACCCAGGCTGAAAATCTCCGTGATCTGGGGAAGAATTAATATCATGGGTCATCATGGCCAATGGGGCTAAAGCAGGGTCAAGGCAGGGTTAAGTGTCCCCCAGCACTGACCACGGGTGTGCCAGCCCCTCCTGCCTCCTCCTCTGGGGCCAAGTCGGAGGCGGAGTCATCCTTGCTCTCTTCCTCCTTGTCCTCCTCAGGGTCCAATGGCTCTTGCTTCACAGGTGGCAGGCCTGCATCTACTGCCTGGGAGAGGTGGGAAATAGGCATCAGTCAGAAGAGCAAGGCTGGCCTAAGGCAAGAGTCTCTTACCAACCAACCTGTCAGTGTGCTGACAAATCTCACTTCCAACACACTTCAGCCCAGAAAACTCATCTCTCAACCTACAAACCTTTCCCCTTCCTCAGAGAATTCCTTTTTTCTGTTAGCTGGACAGCGAAGCAGGCAAAGTTAGTTGCCTGGGGAAGGTGGGGCATGTGTCAGACAGGTAGGGAAACTTTATGGTGAGGCTGCGATCAGCACATCTATTGCTCTGCTCAAAAAAACCACCATCATTCTGCTTACAGACCACCCATCACTGACCCCCACCTTGCTGGGGCAGCCAGACAGCAATACAGGAGAAGTCAGGATGGCTGTGCCCGGTGTCCAGTCTTCCTGGGCATCCACCTTCTCTTGCTTCACCTGGGGTAAGGCCACAACCCAACTCAGGCCTGGGCACTGGGCCTCCTGTGTGAAGGAGGATTGCGGCAGACTTGGTCCCAGCTTCCTGGCACAAGGCTTGATAGGGCTGGGGAGGGCAGGGTAAAATGGGACCCTCACCTGCAACAGGGCTTCTGTGGAAGCTGTAGCAGGGCCAGGCACCTGCACAGGACTGCTTGCACCTTCCCGTAAGAACACAAGGTCAGTGCCAGGTGGGGGTAGCACAAAGCCACTGCCCGTTTCCTGTTTCATTGGAGTTTGGGCACGGCCTGATCTAACTGTGGGTGTGGTCAAGGTCTTCAGTATCTGGCCCAGACGGGGCCGTCGAGTAGAGCCAGGTCTCTTTCGACGAGAGTACGGTGGGGGCGGCCCTGCTCCATCCTCAGATCCTGCCCAGACACTAGGCAGCAGCCGCTTCTGAATAAAGACAAGGTGTTACGGCCATGTGGCACAGTGACCAACTCCAATATCCACCACCCTGCCCTGATCAATGTGCCTGTTAACCCCAATTAGTTCTAGCACAGAACCTGTTTACACAGGAGGCCCTCACCATTGAGCCTGCTGGTCTCCTGTTAGTAATGCCAGTGCCACTCAGATTCTTCATTTGCCCCAGCACAATGTTTGGTAATCTTTGGCTGAACCTACTGCCCTGCCCACTCCTCTGAAGATGCACAGCCCATCTGGCCTGTCCCACCCCTCTACCAGGCCTTTCCCACTGCTCCCAGGCACGGGGGGCCCTGGATCAACGTATCCCACCCACCTGACCCTTCCTGCCCCACCCACCATGGCAAACTGCAGGCACTGGCGCCAACGACACTTCTGGCGCTTCTGATTGCTGCCCCCAAATTTCGGCTTGTCACAGCAGAAGTCACAGCGACCACAGTCCATCCGGCGCAGGCAAGCTGCACAGGCCCCACACTTACGGTTCTGCCGACGGTTCGTGTAAGGCTGCTGGGGGACAGGCAAGAAGAGGATGCTATTACGGGCACTATTCCAATGCTGCTCCTTTACTAGCCTCATCAGAGGGAACCAGCTGTGCACTGGTCTTGGTCACACCTCGGCACCTGGTAGTCCAACACCAGGCACATCCCTGTAGTGGGCAGTGCCCAATACCATCAGAATTATGGCTGCCCCAAAGCCTATCCATCGCGTCATCTGCTAGACCAGTGGCTACCAAGGTCTTCGGCCCCCACCTCAAGCAGGCTGAGCCTCCACTGTGACCCTCCACTGCACCTGCTGAATTTGCTCAACCAATGTGAACTCCCTTCACTATGACGACTTTTACTCTATTAGCCCCACCAGAGCACGGGTTCGCCTGACATTAGCTACTGCTGCTGCACCTGTTGATCCCATGTTGGTCCCTCCCCCATTGTCTGCTCACCCCATATTAGTACCCATTACTGTGTCTTGCTGTTTCCCTATTAGGCCCATTGCAGCAGCTACTTCTTTGGGCTTAACCAAGTACCCTAGGAGGGTCTAGGTTTGTCCAAGTAGGGTGGGGCCACTCACTAGCTCGTCCTCGTCTACACAGTAATAGATGAATTCGGCAGGTGGCGAGGGGGCCAGGGCTCTGGGGTGCTGCAGAGGCAAACGGGCTGGGGTCAGGGCAGGTACTGGATAAGATTAGGGTTGTTCCTTCCCCCGGCCCACCAGGGCCTCACCAGCTCTGGAGACGCTGGAGGCTGTGATGGGGGAACTGGAGGCAGTGGCTGGGTTCGGGGGGGGCGCCGCCGGGCAGCCATCTTGGAGTCACAGCCTCCTCTGCGGCGGCTACGTTTACCCTGGGAGAAAGCCAGAAGAGTAGTTTAGGCTTGATGGCACCAGGCAGATACAGGATCCCAACCCTCATGCCCACCCCCAAGAGAAGTGCAGAAAGCATGCATGGGACAGGCAGGCAGAGTGTGGGGTGCAGCACTCACAGCAGGGGGAGCCACAGCTAGGGGAGGGCGTCGTTGACATCGCTGATGGTGGCGACGGAGACGGTGGGCAAGGTGCTGGCAGATAGGGGCAAGTAGGTGGGACCAGGGAGTTGAGCATGGGGTGAGGGAGAAAAGAAGACATGAGGTGGGCAAGACTGGGAGGAAGCAGCAGCAGCAGCAGCAACTTTAACAGCAGATGAGTTCTGCCCCAGCCCTGGCCCCAACAGCGCTGGCCCCTCCAGCCTAACTCACCCGTAAGCAGCGCCGCTGGACACACCTCCATTGGCGCCTGAGACCAGGGCGGGGAGGGCGAAGGCAAACTCGACAACGGCCACAGTCCTCTCGGGTCTGACAGCCCCTGCACACTCCACACCCTCGGCTCTGTTGGGGGGATGGGAGGGAGCACAAGCATGATGCATGGGGCCAGAGCTATGAGAGCCAGGGGCTAGGGTAAGCCTTTGGCCCACCCCACCTGCCCAGCTCACCCTTTCCACAATCCGGAGGCACCGTCTCCGCTCACACTTGCAGAACAGCCCCGAGGCCACATCATGGGGCAACTGCAGAAGGCATGTGGAGCAGGCCCCGCAGTCCTCGGTTACCCGGCAGGCTGCGCACTCCCCGCAGCCCACACGCTGCCAGGAATGGGCAGGGCGAGGTCACAGGCCCAGACAGAGTAGCTCCAGGGGCACTGCCCCTTACATGTCTCTTATTATTAGCCCCCTCTGCCACGTCTAGTAGCCTACCACTTGCCTCATCACTGTACCTGACAACTACTGATTAGCGGCCATCAGAGGCTATCCCCAAGGTCTACCAGTGCCCTCTTAACCTCATTGTTGAAACTGCTGATACCCCAACGACCCATTACTGTCTGCTGGTGGTAGCTAGCTCCCTACAAAATGACTCTGACACATTGAATCCATCACCATTCCTTCAGACCTTCCACAAGCCCCCATCACATCCTGCTCCCACCACACAATTGTGAGGAGGAGGCAGGTCGTGCTTACCTTAAACATCCTTTGCTCCCGGTTGAAAGCAATTCTCTGTGCTGCAGAGGGAAAAGGAGAAGTGAACAAGAAGCATCAGATATCTACCCTCACGCACTGCCGCTCCCCTGACGTCCACCATTCAACCTCCAGCCTGACAGTGGTGTCCTAACCTGACATCAGACCTGCTTCACTTCTGTGTCCCAGGGCCTAGGGGCCACTCACCTCTGCAGTCCTTGCATAATGTCTTGAGCCGCTGTCTTCGGGTACCATCCCCTGAGAAGCTGATTCCACAGTTCTCACAGCACCTGGTATGGGAAACATGGGTGTGGGGCTCTAAGTGCACCCTCAACCGCAACCCTCACCCTCTTGGCTCACTTTAGGTCAACACTCACCCAGGAGCAGGCAGTGAAGCTGGGGCTGTGTCAGCATCAGCCTTGGTCTCATCCCCTGGGGCCTCCTTCCTGACCTCACCCTTCTGGGGTCCAACCTGACGTTTCCGAGTCTTGGCTGGCCGTGAAGGTTTCTTCCGCTTCCTGCTAGGGACAGGTAAGGACTGGGGCTGCAGATGAGAGGAATAGAAGGAAGAGATCAGTGGGTGGGTGTTAGATGGCTCAGTCATCCCTGCTGGGTACCCCACACTGTGTAGTACCTTGGGGGCTGGATAACACAGAATGCCTTGTTTGAAGTCGAAGAGGGTGAGGTCGCACGCAGGGCCCAGGTATCGGGTCAGCTCAACTTTGCTTCGGATCCTGTCTCCTGTGGGGCTAAGGATGGGCCAGGATGGGTTGGTACCTGGGTGAAGCCATGGCCACTCCACCCACACCACCCTCCTACTGGGCTGGTGAACAGGCCTGTAAGGCTGGCAGGGGACACAGGAGGTAGCTTGGGATTGACATGTAAACCCTGACCAGGTCGTACCCCAACTAAGCCTGCAGAGCAGAAATATAAGATGTGTACAAACAGCCACACATATGCGTATATAAGCAAATAATATAAACGCAAATACGTATGTATTTATGTCATATGTTACTACTTAGTCTATACAGTCAAAAATACCAATCCCAATCTGTTAAGTAATGTGTAAGTATGTTAATATTACACACTAAATATGTAAAAAAACAAAAAAGATAAACGCCTGCTTAAAAACATACAAATAAATAAACAAACACATAAATATATATGCAAATGCATGCATAAACATACAAACGCAACTACATACAAAACAAAGTAGGAATAAGCAATACTGAAAGAGAATACTCCACGAGTCTCCAGCATTTTTGCATGTCTTGCAAAAGAGGCACTGATAGTCCTTTGTTATGAACTATCTCTTCAAGGATGTTAGTACAGCAAACAGCCTTGGAAGATAAGAGATAAGTTCTCCTTCCAGAGCAGAAGGAAGGCATCCTTACTATCCTAACATAAAAGACTAGATTCCTGAAGCTCAAGTAGTTCCTTTCCTACCCAACCCAATGCATGGGCAGATGCTAGATAGCCCTCTTCAGGTCATGATGTGGGAACTGACATTTGGGGAACTGACAGGAAAATAAAGACATTCTGAATACTGCTGTTATTGTGAGTAATAAACTATCTTTCATCTCTGACCCAGGAGTGTTGTATATCCTACACCAGCATGCACAAAATTGTGACATACTTGTTATCTTGCCCTAATTAGGACAAAACCTCTAGTCTTTTACGGTTCTTGATAACAACACTTAAAAATATAAATTGTGACAGTTTCAGATGCGTTATGTGTGGATAAACATACAAATAAGTACGAACAAACAATTATATTTATGATTTTACTATATTCCTCCAGGAAAACAGCAACTTAGATACCAAAAAAGTTCACAAAGAATGAACTTCAGGAAGTTCAGGAAGAGTAAATTCAATAACTGCATCACTAATAGATCCTGAAACACCTTAGATCCTTAAATGCAAATAGCACACAAACACGTATATTCATGTATTAAGGGCCGATTATCATTCATGGTATGTTGTATAAAGTCACATTAAACACTGAATTAGTGAACATAGAACCTCTGGTCCTAGGGAAACTACAGGTTAGCTTCCTGCGAGCCTCAGATGATCAATGTGTAACCTCGTTCTATGTATGGCCTTTGAATGATTTAAAGCCAGGAACTTTGGAGTATTGTTATGTAGGTACTTTTCCCAAGGCCCCTGTAAAACAAGCCAGCCTTGTCAGTATTGAAAACCTGGTGTTCTACGTGACACATTTCCCATGTAACACTTAACGGGTGTTTTAAAAATTCCTCTCCAAACTCTTGATCTGCAGACCTACCTTGTATGCAAATTTAACATTTTTTATAATGTATCACCTTCTGAAACACATAAACCAGTCAGCACTAAGATAGATTCAACATTTTCCTAAACAGAGGTAACACAACCATCAACGTCCTTGGCGTTCAGCCTCTCACGATGCCCACTACGCTTTATTTTACTTAGCCCTTTTCCCACCTTTTCCTTAGGTTCAGCGTTACTTTAGCATTTTCCAGAAATTGAAGTTGGACAAATTGGAAAATTTCCTTCTCTTTTTCTAGATGTACCACATTGTTGATTCACTGACATTGCACTCACTCCTAACAGCTCTACAACTCACACCTGAAATTTATTTAATGTGTATTTTCTCCTTGCAGCACATCACATTTTTCTCCTTGTAGCCCATCAGACTTCTTACACTTAGAATACTAGATAGCAACTTCAGCACTATGCTGAGGGCCATTCTAAATACTAAAATCACCAATAAAAAGTACAAAAATGTGAAAAACATGGCACTAAGTAGACCATGAAAAGGACACATGATTACAGTAAAAGAACTGAAATAAGAAAGTCACATTCAACCTCAGCTGGGAATGCGTGTATCATGCAACTTAAATTTTTTGCTGTTCTATGCATGTCTATGAAAGACCATGAAAGTACAAGGAATATCAACTTTAAGAATACAAATTCTAGCAAGCAAACAAATTAGCAAATATGAAATAAACAAATAATAAGAATGGACTACATATGCATAATTTTAATCCACCCACAAAATTAAACACACCCCAGATTTCACCCTGCTCAACCAGACTCAGCCTTACCCAGGACCCTGTCCACAACCCAGCCAGTACCTCTGGTAATAGGTGTCTGAGCGTCCACAGGTGGCACCTGACTTTCGAAAGACCTCACGGCGTTTCCAGCCAGGGCCCAAGGCTGGGCACTCCAGCCAGTCCTCAGCCATGGAAGCCACGGGAAGGAGCAGCGGCCTGCAACATGGAGGGAGCAATGATGAAAACTGAGGGACTAGGAGAGGACGTGTTGTACCCTAGTCCCCCAAACTGCTAGTATGCTTGTCCGAGACCTGGTACCTCCCACAGCCAACTGGCCAATACAAGAGAAAATCTCCTTTCCCAACTCATTCTTCCCTGTCCTGAGCCCAGAAGCTTGTCATTCCTCCCCCTTCCTGACCTGGAAGCCCAATCTTCAACTTAAGGGTCCCAATCTTCAACCCAAAGATCCCCATTCCTTACTCAATGTCCTGATTCCCACTTCCTCCCTATCCTCAGCCTGAGAACCCATCACTTCTCCCCTCTGCCAGCCTAAGAACCTCTTTCCTCCCAGGAGACACTGTCTTTAACCTACTGGTCTCTACGCCTCCCCTTTGTCACCCTGAAACCTCCGTACACCCCCTTCCCCGAACTGAGAGGCCCTATTCCTCCCATCATCAGCCCAAGAGGCCCCCATTCTGCTCATCATCAGACCAAGGTCCCAGTACTCTATCTACCTCAGTGTTCTGACCTCCCATTCACTTTCATCATTGACCCAGGAGTCCTCAATTCCTCTTTCAGTCTTTTAACCCTCCCACTCCTTCCCTTTCTGATGTCCTCCTATCATGCTACCTCAGTGCTACTGCCTCAGTTTCCTCCGTGTGCTTGCCAGAGAGCCCCCAGCTTCTCCATCTCTTTACCCTCAACAGCCCCTCACTCCTGTTCCTCAGCCTGAAAGCCTCCTCCTCCCTTGTTTTCCCTGTCAGTGCTCTGAGACACAAGTCTTCACCAATATCAGTCCCCAAACCTTATTCCTCTCATCTTCAGCTACAAAGTTTCTTCATTCCTTCTCTTCAGTCTCTTATTCTCCATTCCCCTCATCACCCTGAGATACCCTGCTTTCCCTCCTAACATTCTGAACCCACCCCTCAATCCTCCCCGTTTTTGTCCCAAGATCATGCCATCCCTAACTCAGCATTCGGAACCCCTATTCCTTCTCTTCTCCATAGGAGTCCCCGCCGCTCCTTTTCTGCCTCCCAATGGCTCCATTTCTTCCCGTCATCAACCTGAGACCCCTCTTCATTTCTCCCTCTCAGCGTTCTGAACCCTCATTTCTCTCCTTAACCTGAGAGACACCAAGGTCTCCCCTCGGGGTTCGGATCCTTCCCCAACCCTCTCCGTCCTCGTCCAGACTCCCAACACGTCCACCTGTCAGCGCTCTGAGTCCCAATACTCCCCGTCCTCAGGCAAAACCTTCCCATTCCTCCCCTTCAGTATTCCGACGCCGCCATTCCTCCCACTCATCGGCCTGAGGGCCCTTCATTCCTCTCCGTCAGGGTTCTGAGCCTCAATTCTTCCCCATCCTACGCCTGAGCGCTCTCCATTTCCACCCCCACAACTGTCTCACCAGCTCGGCACCAGGCCGGTAGCTTCCGCCGCTCTAGGTCCGCGGACCCATGGCGAGGGTCCCGCCTGTGACTCCCGCCTTGCCCTGCTCTTCTTCCTCCTCCGCAGACGCTTCCTCTGAAGCGGTAGCTGTCGCTGCCGCGGCCGTTCGTTGCTCCCGGAACCGGAAACCCGCTGGCCCCCTCTAGGGCCCCGCCCCCGGCAAGACGCCTGCGCTCTAACGCCCCTCCGGCGTTTGCCCTTAGTAGGGAGGACCCCCCCCCCGCGCCTGCGTGCTCGGTCCCACAGCGGCGCGCGCCTCTTGCCCGGGACCTACTGCGCCTGCACCCTGACGTCCAAGTACGGCTCGCACCCCTATCGGAGACTTGCAGCGCCGGAGCCCCTGTCTTCCCCAACCGGCGTTCTCCCCGCTCCGCCCACCTGGTTTGCGCCTGCGCTCTCCCAACCTAAGGGGGCGTGGAGGGTTGGGGTTGGCCCGACGCTGTTCTCCAGGCGGTTTTCACCAGCGGTTACCGGGAGGGAGGGGTGCCCAAGGCTAAGGTTGTGTCGGAGGGGTCCTCTCCCACCTCTCGTCTACGTCGCGCCTGTGCCGTGCGGTTTCCCGAACATCTCCCCCAGGACTATTGCGTCCCGCTCTCTCCGCTCCGCCGAACAGTTGCAGGAGCGCGCGGAGACTAGTCCGGCCGCACGCTAACCCCAGTGCCTTCCACGGGAACTGGAGAAGGGGGCGGTGCCGCGCCGCAGGTAAACAGAAGGTCCGTGCAACGGAGACCCGCGGGGCCCGTCCTGGAACGGCTGTGCTGTGGGAGATCAGTAGCCCCGACGACAGGGCGGGACGGGGTTCCCGGACTTCCGTTACACGCGTGTCGCAAAAGAGGGGTTTGAGGGAGAACGAGACCTTGTGTCTGTCATCGAATACATTTCTAGTCCGGAGGATGTCAATACTGACACAGAGGTGGTAAGTCAACCACGATACTGAATTAGTGCCAACTGTATACCCACTGTTTCAAAATGAAATGCTGAGAATGTGGGTCACTGGGCTCTCCTTCGGCAAGGCATATCCCACCGCCCGAGGGCGGGGGGGGCTCCTGCAGAACACAGCGTAGGTGCCAACTGTATACGTAAAGCTGTATACTGCAACCCCTTCTGAATACAGGTGTCTGCCACAGCTCATCTACCCATGGGGTTTGGGAATGCGGTTGCAGCTGGATAAATGTGAAAACCTTCAGTAGTAATCTTTCTTGATTCTTCAAAATTTTATTAACAAAACCAGGACAGGGGAGCCAAGAGTGAGCAGACTTCACAGTCCCACCCAGGCACAGAGAATGGAGAGACAGAGGGACAGACAAGGACAGGAGAAGATTCTGAGACACTCTGGTAATGGCAGCTGGGTAGTCAGATGGTGGATGGGCACAGGGAGAAACTCAGGGACCATTGGAGAAACATATGAATGGCAGAACAGACAAATGGGGGATTCAGGGCAGCTCCTCGGCCTGGAATGCAGGTGTGAGGACTTCTGGGCCAGTGTGAGGTTCAGCGGTCAGCACTGGAGCGCAGGTCGGTAGTGAGCGGGTCATGTTGGATCGTTTGGTGCAGCATCAGGGCCAATAATCCTGCCCGGTTAGTCATGGCTGTGCGTACATTTCGCTCCTGCTCAAACAGCTCATCCAGCTTGTACCACTGCCAGGGAAGCAGAAAAGAGCCATGAGAAGGAGCTCTAGAAGCCCCACCTGACCCCAGCCACATTCAGCATCAAAACCTACCACGCGCACACGCTCCAGGTCCACTTCAGCACGCCGCAACTTCTCCCAGCAGTAATGGCGGTTACACTGGCGTTTGGGCAGGCGGCAGAAGTCACCCGTGAGCTCAAAGACATCACGTACAAGAGGGCACCCACATACCTCATCTGCTGGCACCTGCAAGGAGAGCGGGGGTCAGGGATGAATGGGGATGGTGAGGGAGAAAAGAGGACAGGAATGGAGAGTGGTCAGAGAGATAGAAAGGAAGGAATAGAGAGTTCAGGGAGTAGAAAGGAATGGAAAAGGAAAGGAACAGGAGATAATGAGATAGGAGAAAGGAAAGGAATGAAGAGTGATAAGGCAGGCAAAGTGAGACTTACAGAAGCAGTCAAGTAGGAAAAAGGGAAGGAAGGAGGGCAAAAGAAGCAGCAAGGGATGAATGTGGGCAGTGAGGAGGAAGAAAGGACAGAATGGGGGGAGTTGAGGGCAAAACTTACTTTGGGGTCCCGTGAGTGCTCAGGGCACAGCACCTGGAGCCGCTTACAATAGGTCTTGCTCTGAGGATTGTAGACATCACAGAAGAGTCGTGTAGCTCTGGGGGTTTACAGTAGAGACAAGGCAGTGAAGAGAGAGAAGGGACACCCATCTATTCTTGTCCATGCCCATATCCTGCCCCAACATGCCACTTCCAACCCCAGCCTTAACCTCCCTGGTCTAACTGCACGGAGCACCCACACTCACCCCTCAATGCGTGTGGGGTACATGGACCCAAAGGACGTCTGGCTCTCATACTGGAGGGATGAGCACAAATGGAGGGAACTGTGGATGTGTGCTGCATGCCCGCCTGAGACAACCCCCAGACAACACATCTGTTCCCCCATGGACCCACTGATACTCCCCCTCAGGGTGACACCCTGACCTTGGCGTAGCAGCGCTCCATGTGGCGCAAGGCAACACGTGGGTTGATAGGGTGCCCGCAGGACACACAGAAGATCTGCAGGTCTGTGTCATCGCTGTCACCCTCATTGCTCTGTGTGGAGTAGAAGAAACGATGAGGCCCGGCAGGACCGGGCACGGGGCCCCGTGCCGCTGAGCCTTGCTTGCTCACCTCCTCATCCTCACGGACAGCCTGCTGCTTGGCACGAAGAATGATGGCCTCGAGCTCATGGAATCGGCGTTCCATTTCCTGAAGGCGGGTGCGGGCGCTCTGCTGCTCACGGCGAATACGTTCGAGCAGCTTCTTCCCGTGCTCCTCAGCAATACAGGGACTCTGTTGCCACTGCTGGATGCGCTGGGGGAGGATCTCATAGATGCGGCTGCAGGGAGGCAGTGGGTTAGGTGCAGGCAGGAAAAGGTGGCAGACAACAGAAAAAGTGGGGTGATCCACGACTGGCAGAACGGATGGCCGACCAAGTGGCGAAAAGGATAACTGAGTGAATGGTAGATAAATAAGCAGATGAGCACTTGAATGGTAGATGGATGAGGGATGGATAGATGGTGCTTTGTGGACTGAAGAGTGGGCAGATGACTGACGGGAAGACATACAGAGAGCTCTGGCCACACCCTACCCTATTCCCTGATTCCCTTAAACCTTTCAGGAATGACTCACTTGGCTGCCAGCTTCATGCCACAGTCATCGGAGCAATACTTGGAGCCAGGCTGGGCAGGGCGCACACAGCCAGGTCCCAGGCACTGCGGTAGTGATGCAGGGTCCTTGGCATCGGCACGCTCTGGGTGTTTCCATTTGTCCTTGTGCTTCTGTTTCTGCCGATGCCGCTTGTATCTCTCTTCCTTCTGTGGGACGAAGCAGGTTGGATCAGGTTAGGGCAGAGTTAAAGTCAGCCCGAGACCCCTGTCTCCCCGTATCCCACCCCCTTCTGGATCTTGTCCCATCCAGCTCCTGACCTTTGCCTCTCCCTCCTCTCCCTGCCCGCTGCCTTCCCACAACCGGTTCACCCTCTCCATCACCTTCTTCTCGGATTTCTTCTCCCGACGCTTTACATGCTTCACTTTCACTGCCCTCTTCCGCAGCGCAGGGTCCAGGAACGGAGACTCCTCTGTGTCACTCATCCAGGGCTGCAAGTGAGACAGACACTGCCCCACCTGCCCCACTCGTGACTGCCCCACCACGAGTCAGTTCCCACATCAGCCTTTAATACTCTGCCTCATCTTCCATCTCTCCTTATTATGGAAACTCAGCTTCTGTAACTTCTACCCTTCCACCGTGGGACGCTCTGGCTGCTCACCAGGCCATGGTCATCAAAGGCCCCCGCACAGAAGTCCTGGTAGAGGTCAGGGTCCAGCGGCAGGTCCTCATCGGAGAGCGGCTCAGGTGTGGCCGTAGCCTCAGGCGGCTCCTTCACTGCTGATGATGCCACCGCCCCCTCCTCCTCACGGATGCGCCCCAGCTTCTGTGATGGCTGTGGCTGCTGCTGGGTGGGCAGTGGCCTGCGAGGCCGCGGCAGGGACTCTGAGGGCGTCACTGGCGAGAGCTGCAGGGCAGAATCTCAGGACTGGCCCTGACCGCCCTGCCCGCATGCCCCGCCCCGCCCTGGGGGGCTGGACTCACCGAGGAAGGGAAGTACTTGTACGATTCCTGTGCCGGCAGGAGGAAGGCCCAGGTCAGCCCCAGGTGGATGGAGGGTGGCCCTGCCCTAACCCCTCCCACAAGAGCCTAGCCCCACCAACTGGCCCCGCTTTGCCTCCCCAGACATACCCACTACCTTCACTTCTCAGAACCAGGACATGCTCAGTCCCATCCCACCGGCCCCGACATGCCTGGCCACCTTGAAACATCTGGCTCTACACTGCCCACCTAGGGTTTGAGGCACCCCTGCTAGCCCCGCACACCTGATCGTGCCCCATTCATCTGGACAGGCTCCTTCCCACCTGTCTGCAGGCAATCAGGCCCCACCTCACCTGGCCCACCCCTCCTGGCCTGAGTGAGCCCTTCCTGGACATACTGACACCCCCACCTGGCCCTGCCCAGCTCTACCCATGCTCACCCGGGCCCGCAGCTGGCACTGACGCAGCCGGCACTTCTGCCGGATCTTGTTGGGGCCCCCAAACTTCTTCATGTCCCGACAGAAGTCGCAGTGGCCACAGTCCTCAGTGCGCCGGCAGGCCTCGCACTCGCCACACATGCGGGCTGACCGTTTGATCTGCTGCTGCTGCTGGTGATGCTGAGGAGAGGGGCCCAGAACAAAAATCAGGAACTCAAGTTGGGCCTGAAATGGGATCCCCTTACCCACCCCAACCATGGCAGCCACTCACCTGGCTGGGTGTGGCCACCAAGGGCTGTGGAGAGGATTTGTGGGGCGAAGCAGAGCCCCGAGCAAGCATCGCCCCAACCCCTGTCCCTGACCCCGCCCGACGCTGCAGGTCTGGATCCGGGGCAGGCCTCTTGCGCCCTCCACCCTCATCCCGGGGCTCACTGCCGTCTCGCTCATTGCTGTCCCGCTCCCGTGACTTCTTGTGCCGATAACGGATTTCCAGCTTGGGGTCTTTCTCTGTGGGGCCAAGGTGGGTGGACACTGAGAAATTTGGATGATCCCAGAACTCCTTCCTCTTTTTTTCTATCCCACCCACCTTCTCTGTCCCCCTACTCCAGAGCAGAGCGACCCCATCTGGTGGGACCCTGTATTTGGGCTCACAGTGGTCTCCACTCCAGCTCACCACAAACCAATAATCACCCACAGACACATACCACCACTCCCCATGATCCACCCTCCCTTCATGGCTTCTCCTCCCTCGAAGCAGATGGATCTGCCTGCCCTGTCCAGGCCACCCCCCCCCTCACCTCGGCACTCCCGACAGTACCACTCCCGGATGGCCTTGGCCATCTTCTCAGTGATCCGGATGCAGTCCCCATGGAACCACTCATTGCAGTTGTCACACCCGCTGCAGAGGATGGGGTGAGTGGTGCAGATGTGAGGGGCCGGACCCATCAGCCTCACCCAACCTTGCAAGTGTCAGCCCCGCCCGCCTCTCCCCGGCTCACATCATGAAGCAGTTGATGTCTGGTTTACGGCAGATGCAGTAGATGGGCGCATTCTCCCCATTCTCCGACTTGCTGTCCTCCCCAGCATCTGGAGGCTCCGGGTCTGAACCATCACCCTCCTGTGGGATTCCCCCCACCATCACGGTTCCTTAGAGAACCCCCATCACAGTGCCTCATCCCTTGTTACAGCTCCATCAGGGCTCACCACAAACCCCAACATTCTGCCAATAGACTTTCCATCACAGCTCCTCATAAATCTTACCATCACAATCCCCACAAGCCCCCCACCACTCACCCGACACCCCAGTACCACACTTACAAATCCCATCACTCTGTCTCAGACTTTCCATCACTTAGTCCGCTAACACTCTATCACTCAATCCACACACTTATAACTTAGTTCACTCGACCGTTCATCTCCTGCTGCCCCCATCGTGACTCCTCACAGGACCCCCTCACTCCTCACAGACACCACAGAGTAGATTCCGGAGACGGAACATGTATTTCCATTACGGTTCCCCGCAGATCCCCCGTTATCAACCCCACAGACAACGCGCCCCCATCACCTTTCCCCACCGGTCCTTTGACACTAACTCGTCGCGGCTCACCACACACTAACCAGTACCGCTCATCGCAAACCCCGTATCACTCTGCCCAAACAATTTCCCATTCGGATCCCCGCGGAACTACCGAAAGGGATCGCCACCAAACTTCCATTACGGACCCCCACAATGGCTCATCACAAAACTCCCAGACGGGTCACACATCAAAAAAAATTCAGAACATCAGACCCCCAACATTCTACCCACAGACCCCTGTTAAGGCTCACCACAGGCCCCCACCATACTGCCCTCAGTCTTCTCACGGTTCACCACAGACCCCCAAGAGTCTGCCCACGGACCACACCACTACCAACCCCGCTGACCTCTACCGCCGACCCCCTCCCCGGACCCGTACTCACCATCTCTCCGCTCTCGGCGCACCCCTCCGCGATCCCCGCCAGCGACCCGCGAATCCGTACAGACCTCTCGGTGGCGTCCGCGGCCGTTGTAAAGGCGCCCGAAACTACTTCCGCTTTGGTCGCGCCTCCCGGGCACCGTACTCTTATTGCGCAGGCCTAATGCGTCGGCTCCGCAGCAAACAAGTAGATCCGCCGCCTAGAGCCTCTACGGTCTCTCAGGCGCCACCATCTTGATTACTGAGACCGTACGGCCGCCAAATCCGTAAGTTTGCAGGAAACATGGCCGCACCTATACGGCTGCTTTTCCGAGGGCACCGCCACCTTGTGGGCTAAGTCCGTACGGTGACCGCTTGTACGGACACAACCTTGCAGGAACTATGGCCGCGCCTGTGCGCGACTTCCACTCAGATGCCGTCATCTTGGAATCTGATTCCGTAAGATGGCCGAGTCCGTACGTTCACAGGCAATACATGGCAGCGTCCTAATCGCGGATTCCAGGATGGCGCCGCCATTTTGGCCATCGATTCCGTACGCCAGAGGTTTGCACTGCGTAGAAGTTCAAAGAAAGAGTGGCTCCTCCCGAAACACTACCTGTATCAAGTTACACTCACTCTTCCATTCGGTCACTTTCCCCTTCCACATGTATTAATTGGGCGCCAGCAGACTGTGTGTTTTAGCGCTGCGAAGGAAACCTTTCCCCCTGTTATGTCTCCGATGTCACCGTCCACCACTCTTTCCCGCCCTCATTCCTTCTTCCAGTTCCTCAGCCAGCCCTGGCACGGTTCATGGAAACAACCATGGAAGGCTATAAACGGTGGTGAACTGACCGCCTCTGGTGAGAAGGGGCCGAACCAAAGCAGATTTCGAAATCCGAGACAGCTGGCTTCACCAAGTCTTCCTCTAACCCCCGGCCACCGCCAGAATGTGGATTTGCAGGGTTCCTGGTGACGTCCATTTCAGTTCTCTGGTTTCATACATATTCAATTTTCTCCTATAAAGTTAATTGTAATATTTTAAAATTAGATCATGTACAATAAAAAAATTTTTTTTGATCGATCAGAGAGGTAGACGTCCCGTTAGGGTAATGATCTAACTTGGGCAACCACGAAATCAAATGAGAAACAGCAGATCAGTGCCCCCACCAGCCCAAACCCCACCCAATGCGCGAGTCTTGGTCGTAGTAAATGTCCACACGTCCACATTCAGAATCAGAACGACTTGATTCGGGTTGAGGAGAGAGGTCTGGAGAAAAAGAAACTTTTTCCCCTTTGCTGATAATTCTTCTGGATTTCTTGGCTCCCAATGTGTTAGCAACTTGTTTGCTACTGATGATCCTCCTGCCGGTGGTTTCAGAAATCTGGTTTTTGTTTTCGTTTTCTTCACCTTCTCTAAACATTTTTACTTCTGGCCCCTCCACACCATCACAGACAACTGAAGACACAGGAACTGCAACAGGGATTCAATGACCCTCTCTTCCTAAAACGTGTTTTTAATCCACAAAGCGGACCTTCCCGTCCAGACTTGCTTCCTTTTTCTAATTTATGTTGAATTAATCTAAATTTGATTGTAATTTATTTAAATTAACATAATTTAATTCTTCAAACTTAGTTGTTCATTTATTGTATTAAGTTAATTTTAGTTAGTATAAATGAATATGTACGTGTTGGTAAGGTACTGATAAATTTACTTTAACATCAATTAATGAATTTCATATAATTCGATTTTAATTTAATTACAATTTGATGTATGAAAATAAGTTTAAGGGAATATAATTCAAGTTTAACTTAAATTTACTCAAATTTGGGCGCCTGGGTGGCTCAGTGGGTTGAGCCTCTGCCTTCAGCTCAGGTCATGATCCCAGGGTCCTGGAATCCAGCCCCACATTGGGCTCTCTGCTCTGCGGGGAGCCTGCTTCCCCCTCTCTCTGCCTCTCTGCCTACTTGTGATCTCTCTCTCTCTGTCAAATAAATAAATAAAATCTTTAAAAAAAAATTTACTCAAATTTAATTTAACGTTACTGACTTGATTTACTAAATTTAATTTGGTTTAAAATAATTTAATGTTAAGTCAATTTATTCATTTCAATGTTGTGTATCATTTAATTTCAATTTAATATTGTTTCCTTTGTTATATTACATTTTATTTAATATGATTTCAATTTAATACACTTAAATTTTAATTCAAATTCACCTAATTCATTACCTTCTAAAGTTACATAACTAAGTAGAATTAATTAAATGTATATTCAATTACTGTAATTTTAATATATAACTTATTAAATATGATTTATTCAATTGAGGAAAAACAGTGGGAAAACAAATTACTCACCTCATGAACGCAAAAGAGCCATCAGTACAGATCTCACAGACATTAAAAAGAGAATTTTTCACATATGTATACCAGTCTAATGCAATATCTTTGACTACTTAGATAAAATGGGCAAATTCGTTGAAAAAGACAACTTCCCAAAACTAACACATGAAGAAATAGATATTTTGAGTAGCCAAGCAGCTATAAAATTATTTGAATTTTTTTTTAAAGATTTTATTTATTTATTTGACAGAGAGAGATCACAAGTAGGCAGAGAGGCAGGCAGAGAGAGAGGAAGGGAAGCAGGCTTCCTGCCGAGCAGCGAGCCCGATGTGGGACTCGATCCCAGGACTCTGGGATCATGACCTGAGCCGAAGGCAGCGGCTCAACCCACTGAGCCACCCAGGCACCCCAATTATTTGAATTTCTAATTAAAAACTTCCCCCAAAGAAAACTCCAAGCCCAAATAGCTTCACTAATAAATTCCATCAAATATTTAAGGAGGAAAAAAGGTCAATCCTATACAAAGTGTTTGAGATAATAGAGGAGGAAAGAACACTTTCCAATTCATTTTCATAATCATTTCCCTGCTACCAAACTAGACAAAGGCATTACAAGAAAAGAAAATGACAACCCATGTGTCTGGTCACAGTTTCTATCCCTTCAAGAGCATGGTACTGTGCAACTTTAAGTTCTCACCCTAAGTCACATTGTTAGACTATCCAGTGACTAAAGACCCCAAGGCAAAGACACTTCAGTCAGGAATGACATTAAAGGGCTTAGAGATCACCTCCCAGAAGTCAAGGAGACCAAAAGCCAGACCTCTCTTTGGGCAAAGTTAAATTCTTTTCTACACAGATGTAAAGTCATTAACAAAATATAAGCAAATTGCATCTAGCAATTTGTAAAAATGGTAATATACCATAAACAAATGTATTTATGCCAGGAATGATCTTCAAAATGCAAGATTAGTTTCATATTTGAAATATTTATAGAGGATTAGTTATTATACCATGGCACTCTGTTTGCTTTACACATCTCCACAGAGCCCAAGTAGGCAAGACTTAACTGCCATCTGAGTCTTGGTGGAATGCCCTGGATTTCCCCCCTTATGAGGAATAGCCCAAAGACCATGTCTCATTCATCTCCCCAGCTGCAGCTGAGCACAAGACTTACCACTTCACCTCTCCTTCAGAAACGGCCACTGGTTATAGAAGCACTTGACTCAAGTTTAGAACTGATGATTCAGCAGAAAAGTGACCACCTCCAGTACTGCCCATTTGACCCCTCTGATTGCGTGTTATGTTTGTGAGACTAGGGCTGCAGGAAATTGATACCATGATGATCTTGCTAAATCTAATAAGCAGTCTGAATGTGTTTCAGCTTGTTGTCTCCTCACCAAGTGAGTCTGTGGAGGCATGGCAAGCCATGCTGAACAGGGGTAGTAGTGAAACCCATTGCCTTTTTAGCCACCACGCCACTGCTCAGGGACTGCTTGGCCACCTGACAGTTTGAAGCAATGAACATGAAAACTCCCTGGGATCCAGTATCAAATGCTCTTGCCAAGGTGGTGGGTGGTAGTGGAATACAGGTTCCGCATTGTCCAACCTATTCATAGATGATCACCCATTGGTTGGCAATGTCGAAACCTCAGTGTTGATGACCTAAAACATTATGATACTCTGCCCGAAGGACTGACTGATAAACCACCGCCCAAATTTAGGGGCCTATTTGCTAAGTTTTTTGGTTTTATGTGCTCATGCTGTATAATTATTCTGGCAGCCAAGAAAAACAACTGTTGGGGCGCCTGGGTGGCTCATTGGGTTAAGCCTCTGCCTTTGGTTCAGTTCATGATCCCAGGGTCCTGGGATCAAGCCCCACATCGGGCTCTCTGCTCAGCAGGGAGTGTGCTTTCCTCTCTCTCTCTGCCTGCCTCCCTGCCTACTTGTGATCTCTCTCTCTCTCTCTCTGTCAAATAAATAAATAAAATCTTAAAAAGAAGAAAGAAAGAAAGAAAAGGAATGTGTTCCTTTAAAAAAGAAAAAAAAGAAAAACAAAAACAAAAACTGTTCTTTCTTCCCCAGATAGAATGTGCCTTACTAGACAGGTCTGGCTGAGTGCAGTTGGCCTAGCCCTATGGCCGCCCTGGTTTTGCATGATAGGATATACTATAGCTCTTAAAACCTCACTGTTGCGTTCCTGTGTGGCTCAGTCGGTTGAGCATCTGCCTTCAGCTCAGGTCAGGATCCCAGAGTCCTGGGATGGAGTTCTGCACCAGGTTCCTTGCTCAGTGGGGACCCTGCTTCTCCCTCTGCCTGCTGCTCCCCGGCTTGTGTGCTTTCACACTCTCTCTTTCTCTCTGTCTCTCTCTGGCAAATAAATAAGTAAAATCTTAGAAAAGCAAACAAACAAAAACTCACTGTCAGCTACAAATCAAAAGCAGTTGTGATTGCTGTGCTATGTGGGAAGAAGCCATTTCATAGCCCCAGCCAATACACCCCTTCATGAATCTGGTTTTTTTTATTGGTTGTGTGGTTTTATTAATTCGT